CTAGGCACGGCTCTGCAGGGGTGGTTGGGATTGCGGCTGTCTTGGCTGGGTTGGGCTTCGTGTTCGCGGTTTCATCTTGGGGAGCGCTTGCGGGGCTCATGGCCACGGAGAGGGCCACATAATAGAGAGCAGGCAGCCCCGACAAGAAGGCCAGATACTTGTGTCGCAACGTGGTCTCCAGTTTCTCGATGGCTCCTTTGGACAGGGCTTGGGGCACCTTAGGGTGCTCAGCCACCACTTCCGGTGAGGCCTGTTGCTGCTGTTCAAGTGCCCTTGGCGCCAAAGCCGAGTCTTTCTGTGCCTGGTCAGGGCCACCTGCTGCCTGTGGGTCTGAGCTGCTGTCCGGGCTGCAGGTCTGGTCCGCGGGAATTCCGTGTTCCCAGGAGCCACCTACACAAACTGGGAACTTTTCCCGCTGAATCTGTCCACATTTGGAGTCGATGTGGCTCTGCAGTATTTCCTGGGCCTGGGCAAACAAGTGTGGCATAGGGACGGGCACTGGGTCCCTGCTGGGCAGGGATGGGCCATCCGTCCCACTGGCCTCTAGCGGGGTAGCTTGGGAGACACTCCCGAGGGGTAGCGCTGTGCTGGTCCGGGCTAGAGGCCGAATGTCAGTGGACAGGAACAGCTGGAGGGACTGTTGGATCTTCTGGGGTAGCCCCCAGCGGCTGTGAATCAACTGCCTCTGGAGGTGGAAATGTAGCAGCCTACGGCCTTGCTCCGGCAACAGGAAGTCTCTGGTGAGGCCTGAGATGGGCTTCCCAGGCCAGGAAGCTGTCAGTATCTCAGGAGACCGGACTTTGTCACAGAACTTAAATGGAGCGGGACTCAGGGCATGCTGAGAGCCCTGGCAAACAGCTGGCAAGCCCCACTGAAGCTGCAGTTGCCTCTGTAGCACGTGCCACTCCAGGGCCTCACACTCAGCCAGAGTCAGAAATGGGATATTGGCCTGAGCTTGGTGCTGGTCAGTAGGAGTCAACTGGTTTGGGGGAGATGGGGAGCAGGGTGGGGTTGACTGGGGTGGAGTTTTAGGGGGGCAGGGAAGGAAGGAGAGCTCCCTGAAGAGGAAAGGATCCTTCAAGGGAAGCTTGGACATGCCGTCTTTTAGCGAGAGGGCAGGAGAGCCCAGGAAGTTGGCAACCAGGGACTCGCTGTGCAAGGAAGGGAGTCCACAGAAGAGCTGTCTGTATTTACGCTGCCAGTGGCCAACAGTTTCAGTGGCATGTTGCCCAGGCAGTATGCAAGGGCCACATAGGTCCTTAAGGGCTGCAGAGGGCAAGGCCAAAGCCATATAGCATGGGCCCTGCTGGTAGTGGTGTCCTTGGTCTGCGGTCATGATGGCCCATTCAGAGATCCAGAAGGCCTGGGTGGGCTGGCCAGCCATACAGGAGCCCCAGGTCTGGTAAGAAACAGCTCCCAGATTTTCAAGAGAGAAGGTAGGACCATTGTTGTGGAAGGGAGAAACAGCTTGGTTATTTGCAGGCCGGTGAAACAACGGTGGGTTGGGCATGTGCTGCCTCATGGACTCCTCCACACGTCTGGGGAGCCCCCACCTCTGGAAATGCACCCATTTTTTCACATGCACCTCTAGAAGCCTCTGGACCTGAGGGCTTAGGATTGGTGGTGGGTCAGGGAGGACAGGGACCATGTGCAAGGGGACAGGGTCTGTCAGAGTGGCGGAGGTGGTCTCTTGGTTGACGGTCAGCACTGAGAGCGGGGCCTTCATGGGCTGCTGCCCTTGGTTCTCATAGATGAAGTTGGAGTTGGTCTGTATTGTCACCTGCTGGCTCACTGGAACCCGAGGCTCTTCCAGCATGAAGGAGCACATGCTCTCTGGACCTCTGAGCTCCCTTGGCCCTTGAATTTGTTGTGTCAGCTGGAGGTGTTCAGTCCAGTAATCCTGGATGCTGACTGCTGTGGGTGATTGGACCACTGACTGGGTGAAGGATTTCTGGTCTCTGAATTGTGACACCATAGGGGTTGACAGTGGGAGAGAGAGCTGTGTGGAGCAGAGGGCTTGGTGTTCTGGATTCTGCTGGACCAACCCACTAGGCATGGACATGCTATGTATGCAAGGGGAGCCCTGAGGTGGCCCCGGTAAAGATGAGGAGGTCAGGCTGGTCCCTCCCACCAGCAGACGCTTGATGTCCCGAGCCACAGCATTGCAGGTGTTGCAGCTGGGGTCGGCACACAGGAGCTGTCGCACTCTGCCATCCTGAGGAAGCCAGCTCTGGCTGGAAGGGAAACATGGCAGCCATTACTGATGGAGAGCCACAGAGTCTGCCTCCTCAGATGCCTCTGGTCTACAGATGGGCCCTGCCCTGCCAGCGTCCTGGGCTCTACACTCCCAGCCTGTCTGTGCCATTGCCTTTCACATCAGGCAGCATAGGGTTGGCTAGTGAGGGCCAGGGGCTGTGGGCATTGCCCCAGAGAGGAAGATTGGGAGCCTAGGGCTTGAGGGGAGGGGCTGAGGGTGAGTGCTCTGTGACCTCACTTACAAGTTGAACCAGCAGAAGGGAACCAGGCAGATGGGTGCCAGTGGTTAGCTAGTTTGGTATCTCCAGGAACACCACCAGGTGTACCCAGAGGCAGCCTCATTTGGGGCAGAGAGGCCACAGCTGCTGTTCAGTACCCAGCATGAGAGAGATGAGTTCCTGGTGGGATCTCTACATCCTGGGGCTACAGTGTGTCCACAACCATCAGTGCTTGGAGGCCAATCCCATCTCTGAAGATCTTTAAGCAGAGGCTAAAATGACAGGCTCCTGTCTGAGTGCTGCCCCAGGAAGTGACTTCACTGGAGACAGAATCAGAGGAGGGATGTCAGCTGGATCCAGCCAGACGTCAGGGGAATTCCCTGAAAAGGTGTCGCTGTCAAATGACTATGGTGATGATCGCTTCTGTATGCGCTTATTTATCTACTGTGTACCCAGTGATTTGTTCTATGCCTATGGCTGAGTACAAGTCCATGTAGAGTCTCTTACTGCTTACACACTAGTCAGATCCTGGATTCCCACCCTGTTTTGTCCCTTATCAGACAGAAGTGGACAGTCCCCCTCCTGAGATGTCTGATACCCTTGCTCTGGCTGCCTTCACAACCACTGTCCAGCCTCTCTTGTCTCACCTCCTCCCAGCTACTCTCCCTCCTCATTCCTGCCCCAGAATAAATTGAGAAATCACCACAGGCCACAGTGGGAGCTGGAAGTGTGCAAAGAGCCAGAGATCACCTTTTCATGAGAGAGAGCAGCTCTACGGGCTTCTCAACTTCTTTCCTGGAACATCCCCTAGCTGAGAAATTAGGAGACAGGGTTACATGGGGAAGGCGAGGCCCCGGAAAGGCCCTAGAGGCCTCTGAAGGATGGGTGCTGAAATCCCAGCAGTCAGTGTGTGAGGCACATCTGTTCATAGTGTAAGCACTATCAATGTACTTCCCTCTCCAGTTGCATTTGGTCTCCATGGACACACAGACTGGGCCCATTTTCATGGGACCAAGACTAAGGGTGGAGTGACTTTCACACAGTAATGAACTACTGAGGCAGCAAAGGACTTTTTGCTTGATACCCATACCTTATTCTTGGGGCAGACTTTGGAACATTCCCTAGTTCATACTTCACACCTAGGAGGATGTTTTGTGAGAATTTGGGGAATTGAATCCTTAGGTTTTTGGAGCATCTGGCTCCTGGCAGCAGGGGCCCTAGAGAGACAAGGTCTGTGGGATGTGGCTTGAGAGAGAGGTTTTGGGTAGAGACTGGCACTTTACCTCTTGATGCTGCTGCATCTCTTGCCTTTTGCTTGATTTTTCGGCATCTCTTAAAGACAAAAATTTGGTATGAATCTGGGATACCATTTGTAGACAATAACATTTCTTAATTGCTGCTCTTTTTCTGTCTGTATTTTATTTACTTTGCTGCTCTTTTTCTGTCTGTATTTTATTTACTTTCCATTTGATGCTTCATCTTTTTTACCCCAGCATTCTCTCTGTTTCCTATTTCATAAGTCATTTGTTACTTTTCCAAGCTTCGTCCTCTCTGTGATTGTAAGGGGAAGTACTGTGTGAGGCTAATGGTGAAACAAGAGAGAGCAGAAAAGTTGAAAGGTGTGTAGTGCTAGCAGCCAGTAGACTTTGCCTACACTTGCCTTAATGGAGTAGTGAGCAGAGCAGGTCTCTATGCTTGGATGTTTCTATACCTGTCAGGCAGATTCCATTTTAAGGAGGTCTCCATCTTAGCCAGATAGAACATTTCTCTTTTTGCTATAGAATACACTGCTTGGATATACTGGTAAGCAAGTTTCTCTAGTCTCCACATAGGTATTGTACTGTTAAGGGGAAGGATGTCCTAAAACAACTCTGCAGCGTTTTGTGGACTCCACCCCCTACTCCAGCTTTCTGGACTCTACTCTTACTCCAGTGATTGGAAACTACAACTCCCAGCAGTACCAAGGAGAGAACTGCGAGGACCCAGGGGCTGAGCTAAGCAGGCATTCTGGGACTTTGGGGGATAAATAGAGCGGTTTTTCACTATTGCCTTGGAGAGGTAACGGCTCTCTCTTTGGAGCAACAGTTCTCAAAAGGTGTGACTAGGGGTTAACAGTTTTAGTTTGTGACTAGAGCTCCAAGTTAGCCCAGCTGGTAAGATATTCCAGTTACTTTGTATCCCACTCTCTTTACCTGGGTTGTTCCTTTTCCTTTCCTCTTTTGTAAATAAACCCATTACCTTTTTGTGTGTACCTGCAGAACAATTACATTTTAAGTGCGGGGTGAGGACCCATAGACAGGCAGCCCAGTTTCCCTCTGGGCTACCCTGTAACAGTACGACATGGTAAAGAGCAACACTGAGCTTATCTGAGGATTAGTTAGTTTGATCCCCATCAGAGTGTTTCCCTACCTGGCAGCAGCTCTTTTTAGGTGCCAGCCTTGAGCCATGGTAACTCCTTTTCACTTGCCAGATAATGAGG